CAGTAAACCCCCCAGCATGTTATCCTATGTGTCCACGCACACAGACTGTAATCAACGTTTTTTGGCTGAGATGTTTTTTGGCTGGAAAAAAAAACCCAGAACTAGTGGGGTCCTAGAGGAGTTTTTTAGCTGTAAAAACGCTAAAAAACACGGCAAAACGCTGTAAAACACCGCAACCCGGCACAGGTTTTTTTTGCTTTTTTTTTTACCCCAAAACATTTATTGGGGTAAAAAAGCCTGCTAAAAACACAAACTTGGAAAAACACGGCAAAACGCAGCTAAACGCTAATACAAAAAAAAAAAGCTGGAAATTTCACGTTTTTAACATGACTCTACACAGCTAACATTACCAGGGTTATCAAAACGTCCCGTGTGCATGAGGACTAAAACCTGCCCTGACTACAACTTAATTGTGCCTCTGTTTTGGAAACCTGTCCTACTGATCCTTCCTTAACCTCCCTAGCGGTCTGATTATGTCCATATTTCTGGGCTCAAAGCGGTACCTTTTTTTTTGCATGGAAATATGTATTTTTTTTATTGTAGGCCTGTAATTTTTAGGAATAACTCACTGAAATCTGTCCGAACAAGAGTCTAGTAAACATCCCGGGTAGGATAAAATTTTAAACACGAAATCCTAAATTATAATTTAATAAATAATCAAAAATTAATTATAATAATAATAAATTTAATTCAATAATATAATCAAACCAAAAACACTGAAATTTGAAATAAAGCGCCAAGTCCGCACATCACTGAGTTTAGAATCGCTTTCAGTGTCTGATGACGAATTTCCCCACGAATCATCATCACTCAATTCTGCAAGTGGTTCCAATTTACTATCGCTGTTCTCTAGCCGGTCTAAAACCGCTTTTGACCTAAAGGGACGCTTTTTGGACGCCATGGACGTTTCTTAGTTTCCCGGCAGAAAGAACAGTAAAAATGCAGGCAGGGCACAGGACAAAGCACTCGGGACAAAATGTAGGACCTCGACCCTTCTCTGAGGTGCAAATCTCCGGACATGGGAAAGGTACTCTGTTCCAACTAGGCCGAAGCTAGGCAAACCCCACTGTTTAGACACCTGTCAAAGCTAGTCCTCCAAGTACATGGCGAGAGCTCTCCAGAAGAAAGCCCTCCAATGGGACGAGGAAAAAGATATAGGTCACAGATCCTCTCCCTAACATCAGGGCAGGCCCCCAAAAATCTGCATCTGTCAGTAAAAAAAAAAAAAAAAAAAAAAATCACGTGCATTTAATGCTTGTGATAAATATGTGCATTAAATAAAAAAAAAAAAGTGTCAAGTGCTGTACACAAGGGAGGCCTTCTGGCCGCTATAAGGATTGCTCTGGAACAACCAGAAGGCCTGCCCTTGCAGGCAACTGGCAATTTATATGCACCTCTCCAGCACTGTTCCACCACTTCTTCCCCTGTGGCCAGCACTGCAAAATACCCAACGCTTCCAAATACGAGGAGCATGTAACCCCCTCCCATGATGCAGTGCTCAGGCAATTGCTACTTTGAACAATTAACCACTAGCACCCCAAAATACTCCTTAACCAGTTGCAAACTTTTTGCCAGACATACTTTAGGGTCTACTTGTCCACTTTATTAGGTACAACTTGCTAGTGCCAAGAAAATATCCCCCACACCATTACACCACCACCAGCAGCCTGAACCATTGATACAAGGAAGGATGGATCCATGGTTTTATGTTGTTTACGCCAAAATCTGACCCTTCCATCTGAATGTCGCAGCAACCAGTCTGCCCATTCTCCTCTGACCTCTGACATCAACAAGGCATTTTCATCCACACAATTGCCACTCACTGGATATTCTCTCTTTTTCGGACCATTCTATGTAAACCGTAGAGATGGTTGTATGTGAAACACCAAGTAGATCAGCAGTTTTTGAAACGCTCAGACCAGCCCATCTAATACCAACAGCCATGCCACATTTAAAGTCACTTAAATCCCCTTTCTCCCCCATTCTAATGCTCGGTTTGAACTTCAACAAGTCGTCTTCACCACGTCTAGATGCCTAAATGTATTGATTTGCTGCCCTGTGACTGGCTGAATAGCAATTTGTGTTACCAAGCACTTGAACAGGTGTACCTAATAAAGTGGCCGGTGAGTGTATATTTGTCACATGTTAACACATTAAAATAAGTGGGCTGCCAACTAACATCTAAATATCCAGAAAATTGGACATGCCACAAAATTTTTTATGCAAAGAACTAGGATATGTTGCCAAACGTAGCATTGGGGTGCCATTTCAAAAGGAATGGCACTGCAGCATGTCATCACATAGAATATGCATGCTCCTAAAACACATAGATGTGAATGGGTCTTCTAGCTTCAACGATGTACCTTGGCCGTACCACAGAAGCTTCATTGAGAAATATAATGTAACCACATTATTATTGTATTTCCTCTGCTACAAAGTGGTGACCTTTGATCTACATAGGATACTCAGTTAACCTTACGCATAAAATAGGTAAAATATGTAAATAAATAGTGTTCCAATTTAACCCCTTGTTAACCCTTAGTAAACCCTAATCCACTTTAATTGACTATTCCCTCCAAATACAACTTTGTTATCCACAGATAGCCAATATTTAAAGTCAATAACACTGACTGAACATGATCAATACAATCACGCATATCACGCCTCATATAACATATTGCACTAAAGATGTCCCACCAGGGGTGGACTGACCATTTGGAAACTCGGGCACTGCCCCTGGGCAATAGGGGATCATGGGGCCCCTGTGTCCTTGCCCAAACTCAAAAAAGCCTATGAAAAAGGTACCAGGGGCATCTCATGGGGCCCCCTACTGACCCCGGGCCCTCGGGCAGTGACCGAGTTTCCAAATGTTCAGTCCACCCCTGGGTATGAAGTGCATGCTAGCACATTATGGCATAAATCTCCTGGGAGACGATTTAGAAACATTGTTTTAGCTGAGTTTATTTCCATTTTAACCACCTGTGGACCACCCACAACCATTTGCTGAGGCAGGGTGGCCCCTCTGCACTGAATCACGTACACAATCCAGCATTTCCAGGTAAGGGCCTGCTTTCCAGTCTCTGCTGTCATTCATTACAGTTGGTTAGCACGTCCCAGGCCATGATTTATGGCCAGGACCTGCTGACTGGCTTAGCGAATCACAGTACAGAGCCCTGTATTTACTAACAACACAGGGCTCTGTACACAAAGCAGCAATGTGGCTGCTATTAGTAAAACACACGTTACACATATGACACATTGCTAGGCACACAGTTAACCCTTGATTGTTAACCCCTTCCCAGGCAGTACCATTAGTACAGTGACAGTGTATATTATTATCACTGATCACTGTGTTAGTGCCACTGGAGATGTCAGTGTCAGTTACTCAGTGTCAGTTAGTGTCAGATTGGCCACCGCACACTCATCACACTCCCACTATAAGTGACTGATCACCACAATTAGTAGTATTTAAAAAAAAAAATCCATTATATATACACCAAAGGTTGTAGATGCTATGACTTACATGCAAAGCACCTATATACATTTGTTTTTAACAAAGACGTAGAGGAATAAATTTTGGCCTAAATTATGAAGAAATTAGAATTTTTTTAAATGTTTTATTGGATATGTTTAATAGCAGAAAGTAAAAAATATTGATTTTTATACAATATTTTGTTCTTTTTTCATTTTTATAAATAAAAAAAAAAACTCAGTGGTGATCAAATACCACCAACAGAAAGCTCTGTTTGTGTGAACACAATTATATACATTTCATTTGGGTACAGCGTTTCATAACCTTGCAATTGCCAGTTAAAGTAGCACAGTGCCAAATAGCAAAAGTTGGTCTGGTCATGAAAGGGGCTTGGTTAAAAAAATTCCTGAGGAGGAAACGTAAGAAGCATTCTTACCTTGCACTCAGTGTACAGATAGAAAAGGGCGCCATCACAATACGTCCATTTGGGAGCACCATGAGAAGGATTCACCCTTCATTCCAATGTATGAGCTGTACTCAAGGTGACCTAGCCATCCAACAGGGTACAATCCATAGGAATGAATAGGGTCTCACCACACGTGCCCAGTAGTAGGAGCCATCTAGGATGTTTTCATTCCATTAGGATTTGCAGCACCAGGCAGGCCGCACACTAAAGATCCCAGAAACCGGGATAAAGGTATATATGTTTTCAGGCAGGCTGCACTCAGTGAACCTTGCATTTGGATGCAAGGTCTAATTTGAACTAAATAATTTGACCATTTTTAAAATGCCATTCCGATCTAAAGTTGCAACTGTAAAAAAAAAAAAATTATAAAGGTAACACGGATTACCCGGCACTTATTCTTCTAATATAAAACAAAGCCAGTATTATTACCATAATGGATTTAATTATAAAAAGTTGCCTCTAATCTAAGATGTAAATTAGACAGTTCTCCCCGAGCCGCTAAACTTTATTCTATCCACCTGACGAGCTTCATTCCAAATCCCATGAGTCATTAATCACCCTCATTAACAATCATTGGACGCGGCAAAATAATTGTGTTCAGAGACTGCTGAATGGTTTTGACTACACCTAATCAGCTGGTAATCTACTCTGAGAAGAGGACAGGGGATGACAGATACAACTGCGTGTCTTCACATGGGAGATAGAGAAATAAATTTAGAAAATTTTCCCACATTTCAGAAAATTCATAGAACATAACATTTAAAAATAGTTGAGAAAATGTTTAAAGTAGCAAATAACTGATTTGTCGATCATTTGCTGCTGAATCTTTTGATGCTTTTATAAAGTGCATTCTCTGGTTGGATTGGTCTGCATGTTCACCCTATCAGAGAGACATCGATTGACATTCAGCATCATCTGGAACGTTCCAATCATATGCCAGTCTACTCCCTGTAAAAGAAATACACTATACTGTCAAAAGTATTGGGCCAGCCCTCCAAATCATGTGATTCAGGTGTTCCAATTACCTCCATGGCCACAAGTGTATAAAATCATCACCTAGGCATGCAGACTGCTTCTACAAACATTTGTGAAAGAATGAGCTCCTGAGAGCGACCCAGTGAATTCAAGCGTGGTACCGTGATAGGTTGCCACCTGTGCAATAAGTCCATCCGTGACATTTCCTGGCTACTAAATATTCCACGGTCAACTGTTAGTGGTATCATAACAAAGTGGAAGCAACTGGGAACAGCAGCAACTCAGCCACCAAGTGGTAGGCCACGTAACATGACAGAGCGGGGTCAGCGCATGCTGAAGCGCACAGAAGTCGCCAACTGTCTTGCAGAGTCAATAGCTGAAGACCTCCAAACTTCATGTGGCCTTCAGATTAGCACAACAACAGTGTGTAGAGAGCTTCATGGAATGGGTTTCCATGGCCGAGCAGCTGCATCCAAGCCTTACATCACCAAGTGAAATGCAAAGCGTTGGATGACGTGGTGTAAAGCATGCCGCCACTGGACTCTAGAGCAGTGGAGATGTGTTCTCTGGAGTGACCAATCACGCTTCTCTGTCTGGCAATCCGATGGACATGTCTGGGTTTGGCGGTTGCCAGGAGAACGGTACTTGCCTGAATGCATTGTGCCAAGTGAAAAGTTTGGTGGAGGGGGGGATTATGGTGTGGGGTTGTTTATCAGAGGTTGGGATTGGTCCCTTAGTTCCTGTGAAGGGAATTCTTAACGCATCAGCATACCAAGACATTTTGGACAATTTCATGCTCCCAACCTTGTGGAAAGAGTTTGGGGATGGCCCCAACATGACTGCGCACCAGTACACAAAGCAAGGTCCATAAAGACATGGATGAGCGAGTCTGAGTTGAAGGAACTTGATTGGCTTGAACAGAGTCCTGACCTCAACCCCACAGAACACCTTTGGGATGAATTAGAGTGGAGACTGCGAGCCAGGCCTTCTCCTCCGACATCAGTGCCTGACCTCACAAATGTGCTTCTGGAAGAATGGTCAAACCTTCCCATAGACACCCTCCTAAACCTTGCGGGCGGCCTTTCCAGAAGAATTGAAGCTGTTATAGCTGCAAAGGGCGGGGCCAACTCCATATTGAACCATACGGACTAAGACTGGGATGCCAATAAAATTCATGTGTGTGCAAAGGCTGGCGGGCCCAATACCTTTGTCAATATAGTGTATATCTTACCCCAAATATTATCTTGTTTAGCCGTCAAACTCAATTTAATCGTGGGCCACATCAGCATTATGGTGCCCTCAAAGGGCCTGTTGTATCTGAAGACTAGATGTCCAGAGCACCCCACCCCCTACATCAGATGTCAAGAGCTCCTCCCATCATCAGTAGTCAAGAGTACCCACCCTCATTTACATCAGAGTGCACCCCTCCTACCTTGAGCTGGGTCAGAGCAGGAAAGCAGAAAATGCAGGGTCTGAAAGAGGACCAGAAGAGGGCTGGAGTCAGCTGCCAGAGTCTGCTGAATGCTGAGACCAGGGGAGGCAGAAACCAGGGGGTGCTGCGGCTGCAAAGAGAGGTGCAGGATCTGTAAGAGGAGTTCTTTCCTCCTCTCTACTGCTGACTACTGTGATGGGGGAGAGGAAGGGTGACTAGCCTGTCCTCATCTGCATGGAAAATGCAGGATCTGTAGGAGGAGTTCTGTCCTCGACTGCTGAGACGGGGGGCAGAGACAAGCCTCTGCGCACCTGCACGGAGGAGTGCAGGATCTGGCGGAGGAGTTATGTCCTTTTCACTGCTATCAACTGCTGAGACAAGGTGGAGGTGGAGATGAGGAGGGTGCCGCAGCTGCAGGAAAGGTGCAAGGTCCACATGAAATGGCCTGGCAGGCGGATTCGGCCCGCAGGCCTTGTGTTTGACAAATGTGACACAAGAGTCCAGGTGTAGATCCAGTTCATTCACAACCAGGATATTCAGCTGGAAGCATAAAATACTATCGTACGGCAGTCATCATCTTGTTTTGGGAATGTGCGCATTAGTACAACATTTGGCTATTATTATTTTTTTCAGGTATTTATATAGCGCGGACAATTTGCACAGCCCATATTTTACATTCACATCAATCACTGCACTCAAGAAGCGGACAATCTAAGGTCCCTAATTCACATGCATTCATGCACATACCAGGGCCAATTTAGACAAGAGACAATTAACCTTCCTTTTGAGTGTGGGAGGTAACTGGAGTACCCAGAGAAAACCCACGCTAGGAGAGGAGAACATGCAAACTCCATGTAGGATGTGTCGAGGTTGGGATTATTATTATTATAATACAGGATTTATATAGCGCCATCAGTTCGCTCAGCGCTGTACATTACAATGGGAGACAATAGAATAACAATATAATGTGATACATGAGGGGTTTGGGGGCCCTGCTTCTTGGAGCTTACAATCTAGGAGGGAGGGGATGGTGGTACGGGAGGAATAACTGTGGGGGATGGAGTGGTAGGAAGAGTGGAGGAGATCGGCAGTTAGCAGAGGGAGGGGTAGGCTTCCCTGAAGAGGTGGGTCTGCCTAAAGGAGAGGAGAGTAGGTGATAATCTGATGGGTTGGGGCAGGGAGTTCCAGAGGATGGGTGACACCCTGGAGAAGTCCTGGAGGCGGGCGTGGGAGGAGGAGACCAGGGAACTAGAGAGAAGGAGGTCTTGTGAGGAGCGGAGTGTGCGTGCTGGGCGGTACTTGGATATTAGATCAGTGATGTAGTTCGGGGCAGTATGGTGGACGGCTTTGTACGTCAGTGTTAGGATTTTGAATTTGATCCGTTGCGCAATCGGAAGCCAGTGGAGGGATTGGCAGAGGGGGGTGGCGGAGACGACGGAGTGGTTGGAAAGGTGAATGAGTCTGGCAGCCGTATTCAGGATCGACTGAAGCGGGGATAGCCAGCGGAGAGGCAGGCCAGTGAGGAGGGAGTTGCAGTAATCCAGTCGTGATATGATGAGGGAGTGGATGAGCTGTTTAGTGGTTTCCGGGGTTAGGAACGTGCGGATTTTGGCGATGTTGCGTAGGTGGAGTCTGCACGAGTTTGTCAGCGATTGGACCTGCGGCTGGAAGGACAGATTGGAGTCTAGAATGACACCAAGTACTCTGGCTTGCGGGGTGGGACTGATGGTGGCGTTGTTGGTCGTAATGGAGAAGTGGGGGGGGGGATTAAAACTGACGACACTGGTGCTACGTAGCCACTAAGCCACTGTGCTGCCCTACAATGCACATTAAATGCATTGGGTTGATCCCGTGCCATTCATTTTGAATACCCCCTCCAATGGACACGCATTGCAGCACAATAATGTGTGTTGCAGTGTAGTGCAATGGCAAAAAACAATCACTAAAATATCACATAGGATTTAACAGGCTAAAGACATTTCTAAAATCATTTTCAGCATTTATAAAGCTGAACTCCAGGCAAACAACTAAGAATACAGCAGAAAAACATGTATTGGCTTCTTTTACCTGCCAAAGAATTTATATTTCTATCCACGGCTTTTGTTCAGCAGGAACTTAGGGGAACGCAGTTCCGGCAGCACCTCCAGCACTGAATGTATGTAATGTATGCTGGAAGATCTATTGTTGCTGGCTGCTGGTGGAGCTACTATCACTAGAGGGGATCTATTTTTGTGTGGCGTTCTATTATTGCTGGGGTATTCTATTGTTGCTGGTGGGAGATCTATTGTTGCTGGGAGGCCATCTGCTGTTGCAAGTGATCTACTGTTAATGATCTATTGTTGTTGGGGAGTCTATTGATGCTAGCTGCTGAGAGATCTGTTGTTGCTGATGGGGGGACTATTGTTGTTGGGGAGTCTATTGATGCTAGCTGCTGAGAGAGATCTGTTGTTGCTGATGGGGGATGTATTGTTGTTGGGGAGTCTATTGATGCTAGCTGCTGAGAGATCTGTTGTTGCTGATGGGGGGTCTATTGTTGTTGGGGAGTCTATTGATGCTAGCTGCTGAGAGATCTGTTGTTTCTGATGGGGGGGTCTATTGTTGTTGGGGAGTCTATTGATGCTAGCTGCTGGGAGATCTGTTGTTGCTGATGGGGGGGTCTATTGTTGTTGGGGAGTCTATTGATGCTAGCTGCTGGGAGATCTGTTGTTGCTGATGGGAGGGTCTATTGTTGTTGGGGAGTCTATTGATGCTAGCTGCTGGGAGATCTGTTGTTGCCGATAGGGGGTCTTTTGTTTTGGGAGTCTATTGATGCTAGCTGCTAGGAGATCTGTTGTTGCTGATGGGGGATCTATTGTTGTTGGGGCGTCTATTGATGCTAGCTGCCGGGAGACCTGTTGTTGCTGATGGGAGGGTCTATTGTTGTTGGGGAGTCTATTGAAGCTAGCTGCTGGGAGATCTGTTGTTGCTGATGGGGGGTCTATTGTTGGGTAGTATATTGATGCTAGCTGCTGGGAGATCTGTTGTTGCTGATTGGGGTCTATTGTTGTTGAGTCTATTGATGCTAGCTGCTGGGAGATCTGTTGTTGATGATGGGGGTCTATTGTTGTTGGGGTTGTATTTTGTTGCAGGGGTCCATTGTTGTTGGGGGGATCTATTGTTGCTGGGGAGGAGGGGGTCTATTGCTGCTGGCTGCTCGGGATCAATTTGACTGCTTTACTTGTTATCAGTAACAAAATTCCATAGAAATTATTTAGCACCCCAAAATGATACATGGTTCTGTATCATCTATAAGGAGCAGTACTGGGAGGTACGTAAGGGATGGAAGCAATGGACTGTGCTCGGAGGTGGGTAGCGGGCCGATACAAGAACTGACTCAGAAGGGGGTAGTTCCTGCACCTATTCTCTGCCCTGTTTCTATCCATCCAGTTCTGAGATTTACACTACTCTGCAGCACAGCATAGGCTTGACTGGTGATGTAAAGCTACTGTAAGTAAGTTTACCAAACATTCCTGGCCGGATTAATATTTGCTCACCTCTTTCACAGTTCCTCTGCCTTACCATCATGCCATAACCTGTTATGCCCCCTGAATATGACATTTGCCGTGTCCACAGATAAGGATAACATGATTCACGTGTGCATAAAAAAAAAAAAAAAAAAAAGAATTCAAAAGGCAAATAGGGACAAAGGAAATGAGGCTAAGTGCTATTAATATTACAGCTTTCCTTCTCCACCGTAGGATGACCTAGAATGTGTGGCAAACTGCTGGGACAATTTAGTATTGCTGTATTAACACTTTATATGGGAGCACATGGACATGAATTGTATAATCGCCAACCTGCCTAAAGCCCAGTAGAAGTTTCAGATAGTTCTGCACGCTCGCATGTTATGATCTGTGAAAGATGTTTTCCTTGGAAATATTTCTAAATGACTTTTTGTCTCTGTGAATTTTTTGCTTGCAGTGTCCTGTCCTGGCAGAGCTGAGTAACAGCCACGCCCCTCAGTACAAGTGTCCCTACACAGACTGTACTGCAGAAGAACAGAGGGGCTGTGCCTGGCCAGGTCTGTTACATTGTTGAGTGCACAGTGTCTACCACTGGGGCCCAGTGCACTGCAC